ATTCAATACAAATAATAACTAAAACTAAAACAATATTAAATGTTAAACTAATTACAAAGAAGAAAAATGAGGCAGATAAATATGAAATGAGAGGCATTATCAAAAAGATGACCTGAGCTACAGCAGGACTGATATCAAACGTAACCATTCAGAAACAAATCAATCAATGAATGAATCAATCACACAATGCGTGTGTGTGGAATATGACAACTGCAATATTCAGTAAAAAATACAGTTCGAACAGCAAAATAAATGACTGCAAAATTTAGTCATTTCTTCCCACTGTTGCTTTTTATATACTCAATTAAACATCACTGTCACAGTAGTGATTTCTCCTTTGCCAATCTGCAATGGTAGTTATCAGTGGAACCAGAGGGCAAATCCAGCATACTTGCAGTTAAATATGACATATTTATTCCTTAGGGGTTTAGTATGCCTTTTTCTAATACATCCAAATAAAATACTTAGAATAAATGAAGAATGGAAAAACTACATAAAAAAATATCTTGGCACTGATTACAAAAGAACAAATCACAGCTAAAAAATCAACGAAAATGGTAATGGAGAGTTTCTAACACACCAAACCTGTAAAAAATATTATCTACCTATATGTGAAATTCAGCAATAGTAAGAAGCAGCAAGAACAGGACTAATTCTACTACTTTGCATACTCTGGAAGATTTTATAATTGTTCTATATAGATTGAAAAAAAAAGAGAAATAAAGAAAGTTTACAAAATGTATGTGTTAAATAAACTAGTTGATATATATATGAATATGATTAATTCTTCAGGAACTCTAGAAAGAAGATAGCCTAAATGCCTGCCATTGTGTCTGAAATCTAAATTGGCCAATGAAAATTAGTCCATATACAGTCTTTTCTGAAAGAAAAATAGAGTACTGGCACTATAATATACTAGGATTATCAGTAATCAGTCATATAAAATGCAATCAGGACAAAGAGCTAGTAAACACAGTACAGATGAACAAATGTATAGTTGAAACTATGACTATTTCTATCCATTCAAGCTTTTTTAAACACAGTAAACTGCAGGTGTTAGTTACAAATACCCTTTCTTCTTTATCTTAATAAGTGAAAAATAAAGATAGCAACATACAAGAGAGATAAATTTCACTATAATCAGAATAACACTGATGCACAAAACAGAACGTGCAGCTGAAACATCATCACGTTAGGCCTCTGCATGAGATAAGAAATAAGTTTCAGAAGCTGCATATTAATTAATTAGATTGGCTGACAGGAATTTTTCCACTTTCTGGTTCTTGGATTTTGCTCGATGTTATTAAAACAAGCAAAAAGAACATCACATTCTACACAAGGAATGTATTTCAGGCTGGCATTTTTAGTTTGTTCAGTCCTTTCAAGGACAGAGAGATTTGTTTCTCTCAAGAGTCACCGTTTCAAAATCCTGCTGTAAAATAGGATCAAGTACATGTAAAAGATGGTCCTAATGGTCTCTAGTTAAGGAGTATCTACTACATCCCTTGCTACCATTTTCCAGTGTTTTGTTACTTCCTAATTCAAAGGCTTTATTTATATTAAACTATGAGGGAGTTGTTATATAAACCAACCTATTTTTTTCCTTATTCCTCAGCTAACAGAACTGGAACAAAAGTTATCCTCACTTTCAATATAATCTGCTCTTTTTTTTTTTTTTTTTTTCCTTTTCAATTCTGTTGTTTCATTGGCCTTTAGTCTTTTTTTTTTTTTTTTTTTTTTCTCCACTTATAAATATATAACTTCACTATATCCCAGAGGCTGTATTTTTTAAAGCTCTTACTCATCCTATTGTTATTCTTACAATGCTAGGCAGTAACAAGTGTTATTTTGTAATGTAGTAACATGGCCACAGATTAAACCAAATTACTATTATTATAACAAAGGGAATTCAGAACCAAGTCACACTGCCAGCACACCTAAAACTAATATCTAGTTTCAAGTGGTGACAGGATGCCACTTGATGATGTTTCCAGGACAAACCTAACAAAGGACTCTGCAACTTTGTGCCAAGAAGGTAATTCTGTTCCTAGTCTACAGGAAACTCAAGATTTTCACTGGGTACATAAAGAAGACACAGCTTTAAAAGCTGTAGCCTACTTCTAACAACTGCAATTCCTATTCTTGTTACTCTTTTTAGTATCAATCTTTATTAGGGCAAACAAATGCAAGTGGGAGAGAGTGGAGGTGGACTTCCTGAAGAATAGGACAGGAGCAGAACAATGGTCCCCATTTCTCTCACTCCTTTGGGAAATTATTAGTGATAGCTCATTTGCTCATCTCTGAAAATTTGTCTTTTTTCAGTGAGACATTATTAAAATTATCTATTTGTGCATAGTAATATCACACCCATGCTTTTACTAATCCTCTCTTTGGCTGCATATTGTAACTATAACACAGATTAGAAGGTCATTTCAGTTACAAAACCTCACAAATGAGTGTAAAACAAGAGACAACTGGTAGATAGGGAGCAGTACAAGGGAATAACGAGACAATACTAGTCACTGTGATAGGCAGCACTCTCAGCACAGAATCACCTCAAATTCTGTGAACAATCATTTGTTCTTTAAGCATGTAACACTGAGATTTCAGTAGCAGCAGGTAACACTAGAATTTCAAGGAAAGACATAAAATAGAGGAGAGAATAAGAATTTAGTTTCTGGATATTTTACAAGAGCTACTTCTGAGAGTCAGTTATAGTGGTTGTTTCACAAAGGAACAACTGGATTTATAAAGAATGGCAACATGTGCTGGCCAGAGGCTGGAGGCAGTGTCTCAGTGCCAAATGAGTAGGAAAAAGTTGGAATAAAATGCGTTTTGAAAGGTCCTGAAAGTAAAGGCAAATTGAGTCTGTCTGACGTAGCAAAGATAAAACTAGAAATACATAATCCTCATTTATTCAAAGGACATAACTTTATAGTTTTTCAATGATTTGCCTAATCTGTATAGTCAAGTTAGTCTTTTTGTACACGTAACAGTATGCAACTTGTCATAATCTAAAGATATTTATTCCCTCCCAAGTTGTCCAAGTCATGATGCTTGAATCCATAAATAAACACAAATTATTAAAGGGAAGACACGGAAATGGACCGAAATTTTTATTGTACTCTCTAAGCTGTTCATTGCAGAAAGCTAATGGATGAGTGTACTTCCAGAAGGTGGCCAACAGTAGACCAGCACAGACATATGTGTAACCTCACTTGGTTGGTGTGTATGCATGGTGTCTGTCAGAGGAGTTATTCCTTTAGAAATTCCTTTAGAAAAGTCTCTTTGACTGTTCAGCTTCCATTATTGGAATTGTCTGCCCTTTGGTGTGTGTTGCAATAAAATGGATGTTTGTTTGCAAGGCTAGTTTCTGTGCATATTACTGTTTAGCATTAAACATACTCACTGTACAGAGAGATTTGGCAAGGTCTTTAGACCTTTTAAGCCTCACTCAAGCTTTATTTGAGTGCCAAGTTAAGCTTTGTTGGCCTTGTCTTCCATGTCACAAATATTATTCTTGCAGCTTTAGTAAAATAAGCAAATTTCCACAGAGAACTGAAACAAGAGAGTAACCAAGGCAAATTCCTTCCATTTGAGTCCCATTTTGCACTGTTACATCCTTACAGTTGAAAACCAGGGAACCCTAAGAGATTGGAACACGCCCTTGAACACCGACAATTCTATATGGCTTGCTATTAGAACTCTTTTTCTCTTTTTCTAAGTAAATATACATATGCAGATTGCATTTTACCAGAATAATGTTCAACATCATGCAAAATTTCTGAAAGGCAAGAATTAGTTGTCTTTATGACCTGTCTGTCATTTTAAACAATTATGACATTTCCCTTTATGTAAGAATGGGTATTTATAACATTATTATTTAAATCATGATATTAAAAATACCTAAATTCATATTTTATCCTGGAGAGTAAAAGGCTTATGGATTTTTCAGGACAAAAGTAACTGCAGCAAAATATTTTTTCCAGTGTGTTGTACAGACTGGCATGTGATAAATTCATAAACCAGACTGCTCCTGCATAAGAAATGTTATTCTTCAAGGCTAAAGCCTTGAAAAGAATGACTAATGCCATTGCCAAGTGAGGTTTTAAGACTTGTGTGGTAAGGATTTTCAAAATTTTCTTTTCTGCCTCACAGAAGACGGCCATTCTTAACTGAGCACTGCATTTTATTTAAAATTCAGAGTTTCATTTACTGCACCAAAAATCACTGAGAAGTCAATAATAGCATATAGTTTGTGCAAAGCCTTCACTTTCTAAAAGAATAATTTGTGCCAATGAAACTGGCTGCAGAAACTTTCAAGATGCATTTGTCCTTTGTTTAATTGAAGAGAAGAATTGTCAGAGCTGGTAAAATCAGTTAAGACAGCTCCTATTGACCAGGAAGGAGAAAGTTTCACATTTTTGCTGCTTCTTCATGGTACCCTGCCTTCTTCAGCATTTTTGCAGGCATTTTGCTGAGTTAGGAAAGAGGGAAAAGAAAAGGTTAAAAAAACACTTCTGCACTGCTCTGTTTCAGCTGTCAGTCACCAGGGCCACTAAGGCTAGACAGTCACCCTTCAGGCAGTTCTGTGACTGCAGCTCAAAATGAGTCCTGCCTAAGCAGAAACACACAATTATTCCAATCAAATTACTCCTAGGCTACACAACACAATTACCCAGCTTAATTTGGAAGATGAATTAATTGAAGAATAATTTTCCTTTTTTGCATAAAAAGTCCCTGCGTAGGATGTTCATAAAGGAAAGTTGAACACTTGACTTTCATGCCAGAGTCTCTAAGAGAATCTCTGTTTTAATCAGAAACAGACTTTGTTTCAGCTCTTTCTTTTTAGGGAGAAGAGGAGGGTTTAACACTGCAAATAAGCTTTTCTGTTAGCACAGAATCAATATGTAAGAGTAGAAAGGCAAAAATGATGCTTTGTTGAAGGTTTTCCCTTCTTTTTTTTTCTTTTTTTTTTTTTTTTTCCTCCTATTCCACAGATGAAAATTGATTGAAAAAGAGGATTCAGCATGAATTTCTACACATTGCTAAGCCTCATGCTGATGCTGGTTCAACCTTGGCCTTGCTCTCCAGGCACACACGACAGCAGTGCCCAAAACATGGGTCAGCCTTTCACAGCAGTGCGAAGAGTGAAACGTGGCTGGGTGTGGGAGCCCCTTTTTGCAACTGAGGAACAGACATCGACGGTGCCTGTGTATGTTGGACAGGTAGGATAATTAATGATTCAAGGATGCTACAAGGTATAGATTTAACATGCCAATTAGCAGCTTGCTACCTTGGTTTGGAAGACCAAGCATCTCCAGCGACCTTGAAATATCAAGAAAGGTAGAAAGAGGAGCTCAGGGAGCAGCACAACATCTCACATCTCTCCTGTTCTCTGATCTGACTTAGTGTGAGAGAACTCCAACAGCTGGAGGTCATGGCAATACCAAGGGCCTTCCTTCATCTAGGTCAGCTGTCAAGGGAACTTCACGTTACTAAAACCAGCTCCATACACAGCAGACAAAGGTTTCAGGCTGAAAAGTTCCTTTCTGTCTTCTGAACAAAAGTTAAGGACTCATTTATCAACATCTGGCAATTTGCTTGTGCTATTTTTGGCACTGCATCAAAGCAGCCATACTGAGTGCAGTGTAGTTTACAAACAGTACTTAGCATGATTTTCTATTACACTAAGTAGCAGCTGATTTACCCCTCATTAATTTTTAATGAAGCAGATTAATACTAAATCCTTTTACCACTGAGAAACTACAGGAATCTGCATGGTTCATTAGATTAACGTAGGTTTAGCACAACGAGCAATTATTTTTCACCCTCCTTTAAAAATGTGCTTTAAGATAACTGTCTTAATGAAGGCTTATCTGCCTCCTTTTTTTCTCTCTGGTTATTATTATTATTTATTATTATTATTTATTTTTGTACGCTAGAAGTAATTGTAATCTTGAGATGTAGTTTTCCTTTCTTTAAGGCACTTTCTAGTTGAATGAACCAAAATAAGTTTAACTGCTAATTAACTAGCACTAAAATTTAATTGCACCCAAAGGGTGAAGTGCTCAAAATTCATTAATTACTTTTTTCACAGCTCCTTCAAAGTAGCTACTATGGAACTGTGATGTCTCACTTCTGAAAGAACAAGTGTAGACATGCTCACTTTTTAATTATTATTACTTTTCCCATATCTGGAAAACATTTTCCTGTAAAGAAACTGCATAAATGTAAAAAAAAAAAAAAACAACAAACAAACATAACTTGGCCTTTCTATTTCTAAAAGGTTAATGATGGGAAGTTTTTATTGAAAATTGTGGTTAGTTTACTACAGTCTAACAATTGTCCAGTCAGACGTGTTCACTTGTTTACAGAATATGCCCTGCTTTCAGTAAATGAAGTGATAGTCTATGAAGAAAACACGAATCGTTAGTGAATCAGGCCCTGAAGGAAACTGCATCAGTGTAAATACAAAGGTAGACAGTCTCTGTTTTTAAGTCACTATTCCACACCAGCTTCTTTTAGCAATAAGATTCAGAGCTCAACTTCAAATTTCATTTAACAGACTAATTAATCCTTTTCCATTATCATATTGAAGAAAAAAAAAAAAAACAACTGTCCATCAACACTACACCTGCAGACATATGAGTCCAAGTACATAAATTCTTGCTCCTGGTTCTTATTTACAATAGAAAAACTGTATCCTTCTGTGTCTAGATTAATATAACAGGTTAACAGCACCTTCTCTATGCTTTCTCAGCAAATGTCCTTTGTAAGACACCTCCCATTTACCATGGTCAAGATCACAAAAATCTGTCGGGGATAAAATTTTTTTAAGTGAAGTGGTTCAATGTAGGTTACATCTAAACATCCAGCTGAGGCATGCTTCTAGTCTCTAAGGGTTTGATGCACTGTGTGATCACATCTGAAACCCATCTTAGGTTAAAGATGTAGGTATTTATCACATTCCCAATGCGCTGGGGTTCATAACAACGAAGCCAAGATTTATGAATAAAAAAAGAATTAAAAAATCTGTGTACCCCTTTAGCCAGATGTCAGATTTGAATGGTGTTAGAATGAATTCAACCACACCACTCAAAAAGAGGTGTTTTGCACAAAACTCCTTAGGTTGGAAACATTTGAATTTTAAGTTGTTAATATTTTAAATGGTTCTAGAGTCCCTAGCCTTGAAAATTCCCTCTTGTATTGTCAAAGGGAATCGACTTGGTATAATTTAGGGCTTGAACACTCTGACAGAACTCAGAATGGGCCTCAGAACTGTTCCTCATATCTCAGAGCAGTGTCCCAGTCACACTCTGAATAAAATGTCCATTTGATACATGCAGACTATTATGCATTATGAAAATCTTCAAAAAGCATGAACATTGTTCCAAAGAAAAGTTAAAATGATTTTTGCAACTTCAGAAGGTCTTACAAAACACATTGTCTAGATCCAATAGGGAAATGTTTCCTTTGCACCCTGCAGTTACTTCTTTCCCACTCTGTGGTCTCATATCCTACACTGAGCTTTGTGATCCATAAGCATGAAGCAAAACAGTGAGATTATTGAAGTCAAGAGGTAGATATATTTGCATTGAAAACCTGTTTCTTTGTAGGAAAAGCAGGTTGAATACTATTTTTGATAGGGGCTTTCAAGGTTTATCCAGGTTCTTAAGGGTTTTGACAACTTTCAATCTAAACCCAAAATAAATGCAGAAAAAATTAGAGAATTAGTGATATGATAGAAATTGTTTTTCCCACAAAGTTCAGCTGTGGATGCTTGACATATTAACAAATTAATGCTTTTAAAAGAAGTATTGTTACACGTTGTAAACATTAACAGAACTGTTTTGTTGGCCTGAACAAGTGCAGATGGACTGCAATGGTGTCCAAGACTCAGATTCATCACAGGAATCATAAAATTCATCTTAGCAAGACAGAAAAGGATGCAGATCATCCTGGTAGGAAATGGAAATTGTCTATAAATTTATCTCAGAATAAATAATAGAGACTTTTTCCACAGAATGGCTTTTCATCTCTTTAATATTTCAGCAGAAACGGAACAGCACTCTCTCATATTTACACTTAGTACTGATGAGTACAAAAAATATATATAAAACTTAGAGTACACTTGTCATTTGTAGTAATAAAACAATTTAGATAGTGTTTAATGAGCTTTGCATCATTTTAAGCAGAAGTTTATGAGAACTGGTAAAGAAAAGAACTAAAGTAGCTACTTAGATTAAGTCACTTTACTACAAAATGGCTGCAGCACCATTTTTTCATGTTTACCATGTATCTATATCTCTGTTGTATCAATTCTTTAAAACTGAGCCATGACTGGCTGAAAAAGTGACATCTTCTAAACATTAGTTTCTAAGAAGGCTCACTAGTGAAAGGGTTTACTGTAGAATGAAAACAAAGCCTAAAATGAATGTTCCAAAACTTTAATCCTTTCAAAATATGGCTTATTTTTCTGTTTTGTACTTGCAGCTGAAGTCAGATTTAGCAAAGCAAGATGGAGACCTAAAATACACTTTGACTGGGGAAGGAGCTGGAAGCATTTTCATCATTGATGAAAATAATGGCAAAATTTATGTAACACAGAAGCTGGATCGAGAAAAGAAAGCCTTCTACACTCTAAGAGCACAAGCAATTAACAGAATCACTCAGCTTCCTGTTGAACCTGAATCAGAATTTGTTATCAAGGTTCGAGATGTCAATGACCATGAACCACAGTTCTTGGATGGACCTTATGTGGCCACTGTTCCAGAGATGTCACCTGAAGGTACATGTTGTGAACCAAACTGTTTGTTTCCTGATTTCTATTTTTTTTCTAGATAGCTATGTTGATATACAATCTCAATGGCATACTTTATATGCTGCCTTTCAGTGAGAAGGCAGCAAACAATTTTACAAGGTTGGAAATTTGCCAAGCTATATGCTTAAACTGAAGGTTATGTATACCTCTATCTAAGATCTTGCCATTAAATATTTAGGTATCTAGATGTATCCAAGTCCTTTCACAGAACCTGGATACATGCTTGGTTTGACTGTAGAGTTGTCTTTCCCATCAGTGATTCAGCCTTGAAATTGGTATTTATCTAAAAATACACTACCATTTGAAATAGGTAGAGTACTATAGGTGGTTGATGCTACCAAGGAGATTTGGGGCTGAGAGATTTCACTACTTTTTCGAAGAGTATAGCATCCTAGTCTCCAGAAAGCTCTTCAGTAGTATGGTTATTGTTATAACCTGTCAGCTTTTGAGGCTTCTACCAACCTGATAGAAACACATCATGCACGTAAACTTTAAAGTCCTCTGACCTCAGTTAACTCTTTCAATGACAAAAATCAACTTGGTTGAACTTAAAAATATTCATAGCATCCTTCACTCTACTCTGATTCTTCTTCACAGTTCAATAATATGTCTTTATGATACCTTGTGTAGCACAAACCATATTGCACTGTATGTGGAAAAGAATCAAATTCACATCACAGGCACTCACTACGTCCTCCTCAAAGACTGGGATAATTTTCTTCCTATAAGTAAAGGGTTCAGAACACGAATGGTATCAATCTGATGTGGGGTTGGTGTGATATCTGTCCTCACACCATGTATGATGTCTATCTAATTACACTTCCAAGCCTCTTTCCCATCAGTCAGCTTCTCTTTGTTTGTATTAGATGGTGTACAATGAAGGACTTCCTTTCCATTTCCTAAGCACATGGATTGTAATTTTCCTTTCAAAAAGTTCAGCTAAATCCCTGCACCTCTTCTTTCCCAGCCAAAAATGATGAAACAGACTCACAGTAGGATTTTTCATGTACCTAGAAGCTTAATACAACAACTATTAATGACTTTAAGCTAGAAAAGGGTAGATTTAGGTTAGATGTTAGGAAAAAGTTCTTTAATATGAGGGTGATAGATCCCTGGAATAGGTTGCTCAGACAGGTGGTGGGGGCCTCATCCCTGGAGACATTCAAGGTCAGGCTTGATGAGGATCTGAGCAGCCTGACCTAGTTGGAGATGTCCCTGCTTATTGCAAGGGGGTTGGACTAGATGATCTTTGGATATATTTTATGGTTCTATGAAAATATAGGTAAACATATGCATATATGTGGACACACACATATACATACATAATGTGTGTACATATACATTTAAATCCTTAACAAAAACCAGTTTGTGAATGCAGTTAACCAACAAGCATATTATAGACACTGCCATCTCCAAACAGCTATCTTCAAAATCAAAAGAAAACTCTGTTCTTTAAATCTTGCAGAAAGAATCCCAGTAATCTTTTAAATTCATACCCTTATCTCTTTTGGTTATTTCTTTTGCAAATAATATTGAAATTAAAATACTGCCCTCCTTAAAACTGTATGAATTAATGAGGTCATTAACGTAATAGCATCAGTGATCATAAAAGGGAATAAAAACTGTTTCATTCAGCATTACCCATTCAAATTTTAAGGCAGATTCAGTGAAGGTCTCACAGGGAGCTGTAAACTTTATCTTTTTCTGCCAGCCTGGATGGCAGCTGCAAGAAGAGTATATTCATGCCCGGGGGGGGGTTAATCAAAAATTAGGGTTAACATCCTCATTTCTGCCAGGAAACATTAGCTCAGCATCACCACCAGCAATAGCTACAAAAGACATCCATTTAATTAATATATTTCCTAGTCAACCTACTTATACCACCTTCTACCAGGGAAATAATTTTGGGATATATGCTTGTTTATTCACTGCCTCTTTCTCCCATACAGACAGACTTTGTTTCAAGACCTCTACATCTGAGCTCTTTGTTAAATAACTTTTTCTAACATCATCTGTTGCTTGTTCAGAGGGTGCTTCTAGCCTTTGCATCTTGCTCATTCACTCAGGTCTGGACATAGGAAGATAGGTGCCATGTCAAGGACCTTTGCTGTTTTTCTTGTGTGCTCACAGTAATCGTGGGAATAGCTCTTTGTCCTGGATTATCTGGGTATTTTCATCTGGCATTACACAGATTTAGGAGCTGGACAATGCCCTTTTTCCTTTCATTTTCCTCCCTCCCCCCTTCCCATGGTAAAGCATTGTTTGTGAGGCACTTTGTCTCCTATAAAAATGGCTTTAAAACAGATGATGATTTACTATTGCTTGATTTATACTCACAAAGACCTGTAAACATTCACAGAATTATCTCAGAACTGATTTATGGATCTCTTCTATTTTATCTTCCTCTCTTAAGGATGAGCTCCTGTTTTAACAATAACTATGCAGAAAAAAAAAGGCAAAAAAAGTTAGGTAGGACAGTACTTATGACTGAAATCAACAGTACTAATCTTTTTCTGTACACCTGTTTCTCACCAGAAGCTGTCAACAAGCAGCTGAGAGGTGAAAAGTTTCAATCTATATTGCCTTCAGTTGGTTATAAATAGACACCCTAAAAATGAAAGGCTCAGCAGTCTTTATCCAATCTTCTGTGTAATCTCCTACATATTTAAATCCTTAAAATACCATATCACTTCAGCACAAGATTAAGCTTTAAAAAGTCTAATTTATTTTGTGATATTCCTGTAAGATTTAAAAAAAAAAAAAAAAAAAAATCCCAGGGTAATGTAGAAATCTATGAAATAGAAACACAAACAAACAAAAACCCAAACAACAAAGCAATAGAAGTAGCACCACCTCCCATTTGTCAGAATAGGTGAAAAATAAAACAAGATCCCTGTGTGACTCCTCTCTCAGACACAGACTATCCAAAATAGTAATCTTATAGATTCACAATCATCTAGTGTATGAAATGTGAACCTGAGTCAATCCTATGGATCAGAAATATTTTCTACAGTGCTTCTTCTATAGTTGGCCTCTCCAACACTAATACCACAGCTACTTCTGAGTTAATTCTTTCAACTACTTTTTCCAAATAGACACTGTTAGACTACTGACACACTAATAAATACATTTGACAAACAGTAGATAGAAACAGTGACCAACTGAAATTTGCAGCATGGATACCATAATAGTTCATTATATCAGTGCTTTTTTCTTAGTAACATACTAATAAGGGCTGTAGACCAGAATGAGTTTAAATGATACAGTGCAATAGAGAGACTTGGTCTTTGCTCTGTTTCAGAGCTCTCCAGCAGCAGTTCAGTTCACTGATGAACTGGGATCTCCTGGTAATTTCCTCACAGAAAACACCATGGTCAATGTTTGGGAAAGGAGTTCACTGTTAGTATTTTGCCTGTAACTGGGAAAGCAAGGAGAGAATAATTCACAGACAGCCACTTGCCTTAGAGAACCACAGAAAAACAGAAAATAGGCACAGATAATTTTGCCTAAAGTTAGGTACAAACATAAACATATATATACATAATAATATGCCAACAAATTAGAATAACATTTTAGTGCTTTCTTCTATCTCCAGTTCTGAATTTCATTAGGATTTTATATGCAAGTGTCACAGTAAATGAAAAGTGTGTCAGTAAATGGACTCTCTTCTGAAAACACGGGACTGCTTGTTTTTCCTCAGGCGTTTGGTACCATTTTACATTAATGTCTTCCATACAGCTGTTAAACTTGTACAGATGCAGTATATCTGATGGAGTGGTTAATAGTCAGATGCAATAAAATATCAGCACTTAATGTGTGTAGAGATTTCAAGCTCTAGTTAGAAAAATGAATAACTATTTGCCATATGAAGACCCTATAGCTTGCTTAATGGGCTGCAATATTTGGGTGGCACTACTAAGTTTTGCCTTAGAAAGGTAAAACCAAGGCTGCAGGAATACAAATAAAAGTCTTATACAACAATTAGCAAAATGCAGTTTGCCTTAAATAAAACTAATAAAAAAAAAAAAAAGTGTGTAAGCATATTTACTGTCTAGCTGAAGACATAACCGTGTACATAAAACATATATTTGGGGCTAAAATTATCAAAATCATACAAATTCATGTTCAAAAATTCATGTTTGAGAGTCCACAGACATACTCAGTTAATTTGTCTCTGTCATGATATCCATCTTCACACATTGTGAAACTGTATCGTGGTTGGATTCTCAATTAAATCATGTCATGGCTGGACTGTAAAGATGTGGAGTTTGAGGGGGCTCTTGGTTTCTTGTTTGTTTAAAGGGAGTTATGTTAATTGATTATTTTAAAAATATATTTTTTTGTACCTGATCAATTATTCTTCTCCCAACTGGGAGGTTTTTTTAGTACATAATATTAACATGATAATTTCTATCATCCAGATAAAAATGCCTCGTTAAACACAATTCCATTCAGCAAATGTCTTGCTTTGTTTGCTGCAGGTTAAATATGTAAAGAAATAGAGGCTTCATGGCAGCAAAAAATTAAAAGCTGAAAAAGTATTCTAAACCTAGGACAACATTTGTCTTCTTCTTATTACATAGTCTGTATTTAATGTAGAGATTCATGATATCTTTGTCCCAAAAAATGTGGGAAACCATATTCCTCTCTTTACATGACCTCCTGTCACCCCTGTTGAGAAATAGTCTTCCTCCTGAGAGTTCAAAACAGCTGTTATTGCTTCCATCCAGGTCAACTCCCTCTTTACTAGATGTCCCTTGCCTGCTCACCTTTCCATTATACCCACCAGCTGCACCTCACTGAGCCCAGGTGGGAAAATTCCATCTCTCTGCTTTCTGCTGTACTCTGGAAGAGTCAACGGGCAAGCAGAAAAGAAGGCTGGGGCTTAGAGAAGCAGCAAATGCTGGTTTAGAGTCAACATTTCTTTGCAATGTTTAGAAATGGTGTAGAAAATAAGTTCACCTTTAAATGAGTGAGATGCTCAAAAGCTACAGTGGTAACTTGTAGTCCTATGTGTGTTGGATTTTATTCCTGATTTATTACATGTGATGCTGTAAAACAAATTTGTTTCTAAAAGTAGTTATGGACAGTTGGGTTTTGGGAGAAAAAGGCATTGATAACATTGTGTCTATTGGCTTATTCATAGTTCTTGAATCCTTCCTTACTAGCACCACATTTTTAATTTTTTTTTTTTCCAGAGCAATTGCATTATAGTCACACTAAATTGTCTTAGAGGACTAATTTCCTGTATTTATTAGGACAGTTTCCATAGACTGCAGCTGGTACAAAGTTAACAGTTATATAGCTGAAGATTTCTTTTACCCTTTTCAGTCTCCAGAAGTTGGTGGCAACTAATAACATTTTAATGTATGTCCACTCTGAAAGAAGACAGCATGCACTATGGAATCACTTGAAATGCTGCTGAAGAAACTGAGAGAAAATGCAAAATTTATTTTTCTTAATAGTCAAAATATTTCATTGAGCTTATCCTTACATGAGGAAGCCCCCTTCATTTCTTTTTAGAAATACAATTATTGAACTGCTAAAAAATTCAGAAATGAATGCATTTTTTTTATTTGGAATAAGTATCAACTTCTGGTTTGTCATAAAAGAGGTGTTTCTAGTCTAACTCCTTGCACTCCATAATTTCTTCTTTTTTCCTCCAGCATGACTATATTATTGATAAGCAGCATGATATGCAACCATGTGAATTTATGCCAGAAAGTTTTATAAAGTAGCTTGATTTGCTTCTATACCTCAAGACAAGTGATATTTATATTCTTATGCAGAACCTAGGTGAGAAAAAAAGACAAAAAATAATGATTACCTGACAAAATGGTGCTACCATTTTTTTTAAGGACAGTCATCACTGATGGTGTCATTGCTGTCAGTCTTGTATCTCTGATATAATCAGCTTTCAGCCAGAGATGAAATCAAAGTCTGCAGATTGATTCTGTTGTGGTTTTGCACTGGGGATTCTGCCGTCACTCTTGCACCAGAACAGGCTCATTAAAGACTCAAGGATAAAAAATGTTATCAAAGCCTTGCTACTTTTCTTGGATGCTTTGCTTGCTAACAATTAATTTCTTTATCACCAGTGGTCCTACTAGTGATAAAATAGATGTGTTTTCCTATTTGCTGTACTCCATTCACATACCAGAAATCACAGAAAAAGGCATAAGATATGTAATATATTAAGTAACATGAATATAGTGCTGAAAAGTTGTAAGCTACTTATTTTCATTTTAGTTGAAAATTTGAATGCAATAAGAATAATTGCTGAGGAAATATTTTCCCTTTTTAATGATAAATTTTAGATGGTGTCATCTTTCCCTGTAATTTTTCAGGCTTGTTTGCTAATATATCTGTTATATTAAAAGCTTTTTAAAGAGTTAACGTTTTGTAATTATGAGATATTTTATACAAGAAGAAAATAAACATCATCTATTTTATTTTTTCCTTGAGGTACTTCGGTTACACAGGTAACAGCTACAGATGGTGATGATCCTTCTTATGGGAATAGTGCCCGTCTGCTTTACAGTCTCGTTCAGGGACAGCCTTATTTCTCTGTGGAGCCAAAGACAGGTACTACAAATGATCTTGTAACTTGAAAGCATTCATAAACTAGCATAAAATGGATGCAAGCAAAAATGTCTTTCTTCATTTCAACACAAAGATCAACTGATACCACCCTACACTGGTACGTCTTTGCATAGTTCCAAGATCTAAAATAAAATCAATTCTCTCTTTCCCACAGGAAGCTGAAATTCTTCCTCTCTAGACGATCAACAATTTATTTAGCAAAATATTTCTCTAAAGAAAAGAGTTGAATTCCAAATGGACCTAGGAACACTTCTGGGTTAAGGGCTCTACAATTCATTATGTGACATTCTTGTATCTGTGTTGGAGAAACTACAGATATGTGACATCCCCCAAAATTCTGATTTCTGGGGAAGAAAGATGGTGACATATGGTAGAGATGATGCATGGTGTATTCTGCTCCCCCAAACTTTAAGGATGCAGAATGGATCTGTCACACAGCGTGGATGTTGCCATGAGTACTAATTCCCAGTATCAGGACAGCTTTGCTGTGCAGAGTCTAGAATGTAAATTCATAACTGTGTCAAATGATGCATTTTATAGCAATATTATATGGCCAGATATTGGGGAAAAAATGAGACTATTATACATTACTATATTATATTTTTCATTTTTAGGGGTCATCAGAATGGCTTCCCAAATGGATAGAGAAACAAAAGATCAGTATTTGGTCATCATCCAAGCCAAAGATATGTTTGGACAAGCAGGGGCACTTTCAGGAACAGCCACTGTTACCATCAACCTCTCTGACGTCAATGACAACCCACCTAAATTTCAACAGCGTGAGTATAGGCTACTGAGAGTAGTTGAAGTCTTGAGGAAAATTAGATCTACTGCACCTCTGTGAAGTTCACTGGTAGGTTGTTTCAGAACAACTCAGTGCTTTGACTTCAGCGTCCAGATTTTTATTTACTGCTAAAGTGGGGCTGAGAGAAGAGGACTCAGGAAAGGTTGTCTTGCCCTTGCCCCAAAGATCTATCCATTACTGGATTAGATCCATTGCTCTAGCAAAAGCTGGGGACTTTCCCCAACTTTCTGAAAGCTTCAAAACATCATAGCTACAGCAGCTATTAACCATGACAGATCACTAAACCGTGCCAGTATTTGTTTCTTTAGGACTCTACCGTATGAGTGTCTCTGAAGAGGCTCCTGTGGGCACTACTCTAGGCAAAGTCTTTGCAGAAGACAGCGACATAGGAGAGAATGCAGCCATGAACTATTTCATTGAAGGAGATAGCTCAGATGTCTTTGACATCATTACTAACAATGAAACTCAAGAAGGAATTGTCTTATTAAAAAAGGTGAGATCTCAGAAACCTCCTACAAAATCTCTAAATAGTGGAATGAACCTCCATAAGCAAGCTGGATGTTTTTAAAAAAAGCGTATTGCTTTGTATTCTATTATTTTTTTCTTTACTCAGGCTTTGTGGTTTGATTGGAATATTAGGGAGATAAAAATAAACATGCTTTTCTTTCTGTCTAATTCTTTTGACTCACTCCTATTACTGCTGAATACAATAGTGGCGGTTAAAGTATCTCAGTGTTATTCCTAGCTGTGCAATGCAGTGTATCCCATTGTGAGAAAATGTTCTACCTCTTCTGTGCACCATCTGTAAACTCTTTATCAGTAAATTGTACATAGTATTTCCTCACTTCCAACATCTCATGTTAAATTTAATTGAAGACAGAATATATTACAGTATTACGTAGACAGCGGAGCATTTGTTGTGACATATCTTTGAAATGACACTAAATTCACTGAAAAATATAAGTGTTTATGAATTCAGATATGTAATGGGCCTTAATACAGTGTGATTTATTTTGGAATCACTTAAGAACATTTCTGGGTCATCATCTGAAAGGATGATGGTCTAATAGTCTGATAGTGAAAACCAGGACCCTAAAGAACTGAATCCTATAAATTTCATAGTTAGATTTTTTTTTTTTTTCCTATTTGAATTTATTACAATTCAGGAAGGTATTTATTTAGGTTTTTGGGTTTTATTGTTTGTGTTTGTTTTTTTTTTTTAAATGTTTTTGTTTGGTTGGTTGGTTGGTTTTTTTTTTTTCCTATTTGAATTTATTACAATTCAGGAAGGTATTTATTTAGGCTTTTGGGTTTTATTGTTTGTGGTTTTTTTTAATGTGTTTGTTTGTTTGTTTGTTTTGGTTTTTTAATTGCAGAGGATAAAGACTAAAATAGCAATGTAACCATGCATTTATTAAACACTCATTGCCCTCCGGAACTTATTTCCTTTAAAGACTAAATTTTAACATGTTCATCTTAACTCCTACAAACTAACTGATTTCTCTTGTTTATGTAAGAATAAAGAATAGTGTTCACTAAGGTTATACCTATGTTGAACATAAAAGTACTAAAAGGATAAGTTGCTTTTCTTAGGGTTGACATTCTAAGGGAGATTCCTTTAGAAGTAACTACTTCTGAAACATTCCCAAAAGAAAGGTATCCTCATTTTATTTTAATTATGTGTTGAACTGTATAATTCAAGTTTGAAGAAATATCCACATCTCACTTTCTTTCTCAACAGAGGGTGGATTATGAGAGCAAGAGGATATACAGTCTTCAAGCAAAAGTTGTAAATAGGTTCATTGATGACCGTTTTCTGAATGAAGAACCATTTGAAGATGAAACCATTGTCAAAATCAGTGTGGAAGATGCTGATGAACCTCCAGTTTTCACCCTGGAGAACTATGTGATGGAGATTGCTGAAGGGGCTATGAGTGGCTCACTGGTGGGCATTGTAACGGCAAGAGATCCAGACAAGGAAGACAGCCCAGTCAGGTACCTAACTTAAATGATGAACAGGCCTCAAATATAAATGTAGTTGGGATTTCCAAAGGCTATTTTTGTTCCTTATCTTGGCTCATGATTACAGTTAATCGTGCTTTCATTGTGGTAGGCTAGGTTACTCTAGGTGTGGTTTAACCCTGGTAGGCACCTAAGGACCACACAACTGCTCTCTCAGTTCCCACACTCACTGGCATATGGGAACGAATTGGAAGAGTAGAAATGAGAAAACTCATGGGTTGATGTAAAAACAGTTAAATAATGAAAGAAAAAGAAGAAACAAAGAAAAGAACTGAGGGGAAAATAAATAAATAAATGTAAAAAAAAAATTTCCAAGAGTAACAAGTGATGCAAAAAACCCCTAAGCAATTGCCCACCATCAGCTGGCCAATGGCTTTTCCCAGTCTTATTACTAAACATGATGTTTGGTCTGGAATATCCTTCAGGTCAGCTGGGATCAGTTGTCCCACCTGTGTCCCCTCCCAGCTTCTTGTGCACCCCCAGCCTGCTCACTGGTGAGGGGAAGTGAGAAGCAGAAAAGGCCTTGGCTGGGTGTAAGGGCAACTCAGCAATCACAAAACACATCCCTGTTTCATCAACAATCTTTCCTACACAGATTCAAAATGTAGTCCTATACCAGCTACTACAAGGAAAATCAGCTCTATCCCAGCCAAAACCAGCACAGTAGGTTAAATCCTGACCCCTTAGCCCAAAATCCAAATAAATGAGCCATTCTTAGGCATCTTTGCAATAGCTTTGAGGTGGGATAACTTCTCAAACAGTGGCCTGGAAAAGGCTGTGCATATCAGCAGAGCTAATGCATCGAAGCCAAACCTGCAAGTGCCTGGAGGGGTTCCAGTCTGTTCCAAATAACTTCTGGAGAGATGGTCTTATTGCTGAGAGGGAGAGACAGAACAGCTTCACTGGCATCTGCTCAGCTCAGCAGGACCAAAAGTTTCCCAGTTCCCTATATCTACCACAATTGCCCCACAGAGATATTATATAAAAGGAGTCCCACAGGCTTTTCAGTTTGTAAAATATTTTTCCTGTCTCTTAAAGGAGAAAATTTAATGCGTATTTAATGCTTAACATGGTTTATAATCAAAATCACTTCCTGACTTACTTGATGATACTGTGTCCTGTGCAATTTAGACAAGCTAGGATAGAGGGAAAAATGGATGAGACAAATTAATTTACGGTGTGTAGATTCCTAATAGCAGAAATATATATATGTATATATATTGCTACCTATAGGCTTCAGAGATTTAGTCAATACAAGGCCATTTGTTATGACTTTACATTCATTTACTGTTTAGTAAGCTGGTCATAGTTTAAATTAAATAAGAATAAATAACTATAACATGGGGTTCCCTGCTCCCCACCCATCAAAGGTCTTTTGTGGTTTATTTAGATGACTGCAACAGCTTCCATGAAACATTTATAGAATCATAGAATCCTT